TCACTGGGGACAGTAGGAAGTGGCCCAGGGTGGAGGATTGTCCTCTGGGAGCTCAGCGCACTTCAGATAGCATCCCCGATGAACAAGTAGTGAAATCCTCCACTGCCAACAAAGCCCTGGGCTGGGACCTGGTGGAACAGGAGAGCCTGGGTCCCCCTACCACCTCACCCCCCGGTACCCTGCTCCCTAACAGCCTGGGGAGATTTACCTGTGGATTAGACTTCTAGGATAGAGTAACTCCAAGGGTATGTCTACACTGCCACCCTAGTTTGAACTAGGATGGCTAATGTAGGCATTCGAACTTGCAAATGAAGCCCGGTATTTAAATATCCCAGGCTTCATTTGCTTGTTCCCGGGCGCCACAATTTTTAAATGCCCCGTAGTTGGAACTACCTGCCCACTGTTATACGCGGCACGGACTAGGTAGTTTGTATTAAAGCTCCTAATTCGAACTACCATTAAACTTCCTTGCAGGAGGAATAATGGTTGTTCGAATTAGGAGCTTTAATTCGAACTACTTAGTCCGTGCCGCGTGTAGCCGCGGGCAGGTAGTTCGAACTATGGGGCATTTAAAAATGGCAGCGCCCGGGAACATGCAAATGAAGCCCGGGATATTTAAATCCCGGGCTTCATTTGTAAGTTCGAATGCCTAGTTCAAACTAGGGTGGCAGTGTAGACATACCCCAAGACAGAGGAGTGTGTTTGGGGACTAAGCCTGCAGGACTGCATTTGCCCTGCGGAGAAGGGACATTGCCCCCAACCTTGGGGCATTTTGACTGTCAAGGGATCCAGCCCCTTGACAGCATCTCAATACGTTTTGCATAAGCTTCTTTCTTTGCTTGAAAGAATGGTTGCAACTCCTGCTCATAACATTCAAACCAGTCTTGTTTTCTGGGTTTTTTTGGACCAAATGTATTAAGCCAGATTTCAGAAATCCTTTTCTGCTGAGATTTCCACATTTTCACTGAATCACCTTCAGCATTTTTAGGTAAGCACTGGCAAGGGACTTGTTAAATTTTGCACACAATTTAGGCTCACATTTTCAGAATATTTATTTGAATATGACCTTTGTTCTTAGCGTTATATATCAATGTAGGGCATATTATTACTCTGAGTATAATTAGTGAGTGGTCTGTATCACTATCTGTGCTATGACAGGAATGAGTGTTAGTACATTGAAGATTGCATCTTCAAGTCAGCACCATGTCAAATTGGTGTCTGTGGCCAGATCTTGGATGCCACCAGTATATTTTGTGCTGAGGTTTGTCACAAAAATAGGTTATTATAGTCCAAAGTTTATATACAGCACACAATTCTAGAAGCTGTTGACTATTTTCATTCATTTTTCCTATTACATGGTGTCTTATACAAGAAAGCCAGGCTTCATGGTTAGAACCAACTTTGGCATTAAAATAATTGAGCAGAAACAGCTTACCTTGTCTTGGGATCATGTTACAATCAGGTTCATTGTTTAAAGTTGGTGCAAAAATATTACTTATACTAACTGATCCACACAAAGTATGGAGTTGCAGTATAGTAATCTTCTCTCAGACTTAGCAATTGTTTGTATCATTCTCAGAAGGGTGTTCTTCCTTCTGAATCCTACTTCATGTTTTCCTTTCCAAAAGAATGTAATTTATTCCCCTGATGTAACCTACATCAGCCAGTCTAGTCACCTGTAACCCTGCAATTAACAACATTTAAGTAGTGTTCAGTTCCTGTTTGATTAGAGCTATCTTTCTAATACAATCTGTCTTTTCCAGGTCATATGTCATACATGAGCAGAGAGTCTTGATGTTCCAACTTCCAAGTCTAAAAATATGGTTTGCTTTTTTATTTTGTCTGGTACTGAATTTGCAGTTTGCATTTGGATTTTATCCTAGTCTCATGTACCCGAAAAGGCAAAGCAGACTGTGGCAGGTCAGAATCCTTCAAGCCGGGGGCTACTCAGCTTTAGGTGAGTGATATCTGACCAATGCAGTACAATGACTTCTCCCAATGATGAAAATTACCCCTAGCACTGGGTTCTACACCAGTTGAGCTGGCTTATAATTGGTAAATTGCAGCTTCCCATGTTTTCCTGTAGGAGCAAGCAACAAAATGTGCCCTCTCCATTTGTGACAAAGACGTAGTACTCTCTGCATATGCCTATATGTGATGGGGCTGCAGAGCCTGCTGGCGCAGGCCCCACCATGGGCCCCGAGCCCCGCACTGCAGCTGATCCGGCAGCGGCTCTGTGGGGGGAGGCGGCGGTGGCGCGCCAGACATGCGCTGCCTGCTCCAGGGCGGCTCCACAGAATCCTCCCGAGGCGAGTGATGACATCACGGCCCATGCCGCGGGCCAGCCGGGCATGACGTCAGAAGACGGCACGGCATTTAAAGGAGGGCCTGGGAAGCCCCAGGGGGAGAAGGAGGTAAGCGAGGAGATAAGAGAGGAGGAAGAAGGGAAAGAAGAAGCAGAGGAACAGGGAGCAGAAGAGGGGAAGGCCGTAAGAGAGGAACAGGGAGTAAAAGGAGCCAGGGAGGGAGAAGCCCAGGTCGATGCGGGGCGACCGCGGGGCGGACGCTGAGACCGGATGGCACGGAGGAGAGGAAGTGACCCAGGACTGAGCGGTGGAGCCAGGAAGCTGCTTGAGGGTTGGTGAGTTACGGCACACCCCACCAAACAGGCAGGGAAGCGTGTCCCTGTCCTTAGGGTCCTGGGTTGGGACCTGGAGCGAGGGTGGGCCCAGGTCCCCCTCCCCTCCGTTCGTGATAGAGACTAACCAAGTGGGACCGGGGCTAGCGCCCGGGGATCCAGCACTTAAGGAGTACTGGGGACTCAAGACAGTAGGCATTGGGTGGACGCCCAAAAAGGGGCCGGACGCACCCGATGATGACCCTGGGGTGCTGAGGGGAAGCGCGACCTGTGACACTATGCAAGAAAAATGTGGAAAGCATGGTTTGCCTGGGGCCACACCGCCCCTCAACTGTGCAAGTAAACTCCAGGGAAAAGTCAAAGCTGCTCCATCTAGGGCCAGGGGAGTTGCATGAGTTGCCAGAAGAGAGTTTATTAAACCTCACTGTTGTCTGCCTTCGGGGCTCTATTAGAGATTTTCTGTCTGGATTTGTTCCCTTAGACTTATGCACTCCCGTGCTAACCCACAAGACACTGGGAACAGAAGCAGGTAGTATCATTTACTGTCATCTGATAGGAAGCAGAGCTTAACATGCAAAGTTTGATCTGACCTGAATAATAATCATAATTATACTGGGGTTCCAACTACAAAAAGATCTCAAAAATGCACCCAAAATGCACATATGCCTGCATGAACAAACCCAGCCATTTTCTTGAGGCACACATATTGGAAAGTGATATGTCCTTAGATTCCCAACAGGAGTTAAGAGCCTTACAATGGAATATCATGGAAGTGGAACAGTACTTATATGGACCCCTGTCACCATAGTATCTCACTTCCTTACAATCTTTAATGTATTTATCCTCACAACACCAAAGTGCTATCATCCCTTTTTTAATAGATGTGTAACTGTGGCACAAGTTAAATGACACTGGTCACACAGGAAGTGTGAGGCAAGGCAGAGGACTGAAACTGAATTTCCCATGTCCCAGGCTTATGTTCTAACCATTCAGTTGTCATTTCCCTTTCTTTGGGCACAATTTGGTGACATTTGGATGAATTAATGAAATTTTCACCCATGTTTTGATACTGATTTTGAGAAACAGTTTTCTGATTCAGCTTGGCAGTAGTTTGATACAATTATATTGATAGACCACTGTGCTTTGGTTTAGCATCAGGATGACCGAACCATTCTGACCTAGCAGGGAGATATTTTGCAGTGATGAAGTACCCCACTTGAGCATTTAAACATCAGCGGTACTTCCCGATGCAATCACGGCAGCAAAACACCATGTTTTGACATCGAAAATGACATTGCGCCATGCTTCCAGTCACAAGAGTGTCCGTGTCACTGGATGGAAGTCCCGCATGAGGAGGCCTGGCAAGGCAGAGATGTTTTTTACGCAGCAGCATTACATGTAGATGTGGTGTGAGAGCACAGCGCTGGCAGGGCTACACACAACCACGCCATCAGCTGACGCAGCCTTGCTTGCCAGCACTTTCAATTGTAGGGAGAAAGTCTGAGGCGATGCTGTTTTCTTACAGCCCCAGCTCTTCCAGGCATGTGATTACACCCCAAGCTCGACTGTCATTGAAGAGTTGTGTCCCCCTCCCCCCCACCCCCACACTCCTCTTGGCGGCGGTGGAGCACGCTCTGTAAACCGTGCCGTGTTCTAACGCCTTGGATGGCAATAACAGGAACCCCCAAGGCTGTTATGAAATCTCGGGATTCCGACGGGAGGGGAACGGATGACGACAAGATGACACAGCACGGTGCCATGGCAACCGCATGAGGAAACGGCTCGATGCTGTGGCAACCGCACCAGGGCACAACGCACTGGCATGACGCCGCGTCAGCCTCCCCTCCCCCCGCGGGGCGATAGCGCTCACTGTTACGGGAAGTACAGTTCCCACGCGTCATATGAAACCACCCCGGGTCACGTGAGCTGTTCTCGTACCTTTTCTGTGTCCGTTACACCCAAGCCTCCCCTCTTACGCATGCTCGCGCTTCCCGCCCTTTCTCTCACCATAGAGTTGTCGCGAGCACGGCCGCTGCCGCCGCTAGAACCCGGAAGTCGGAGGTGCGCTGCCCCCGGCCCCGCCCCGAGCCTGAGGAGGACTCAGGTGGGAGGGGCGGGGCGAGCGGCACGATGGCGGAAGTGGAGTGAGTTGACTCTTTCTAGGGACGCGGGGAGGGAGGGGACCACTCCCCACCAGGGCGCCCCTCAGTCGGGACGAGAGGCCGAGCCCTTCATTTCTGGCCCCCTCGCTGTGGGGGAGAGGCAGTGTTGATAACCACCCCACCCTTCCCAGCTCCAGTGCCCGGCCTTATCCGGCGAGTGTACGGCTGAGACCTGCCCCCTCCAGACCAGCGGGCCCTGACGTCGCTGTGGGGGCCCTGGCACCCGCTGCAGATATCGCCAGACTCCCCCTCCCCCCGAAATGGGCCAGTCCGCTGCTGTCACCTTAGCGCAGTCCCTGTGAGCCCATTCCCCCCCCCCCTTGAAACAGCGTGGTCTGGTCCCCCTAGATCAGTGTTTCTTCAACGTTTTAAGACCAAGGAACACCAAACAATCTTTGTTTTTTAATGAGGAACACCGAGGATTTTTTGCTGAGCCAAAAAAAATAAGGGTGGCCATTTTGAACCCTGTTGTTCTCTGCAGCACGCCTCCGACTGCCTTGCGGCACACGGGTGTTCCCCAGAACACAGTGTAAGAACCACTGCCCTAGAGCCAATCCTCACTTTTGTACAGGCGTAATGAGCCCTTCCCAGCACAAATTTAATCAAGAGGCAACTCTTGGAGGCTCCTTTGAGCAGGTTGGGGCTGGCCCCTTCCCATTCCTTGAGTTGTGAGTGAGCCAGCCTGCTCTGCCAGGTGTGTTTTGTTTTACAGTTGAGGTTTGGCATGATCACAGCCCAATATTTGGCTAGGACATGCACAGTCAAATGATTGCCAGGCAGTGCTGGTGCAGAGGGGTTTATCTTTAAAGGTATCATTAGGGAAATAGTAAGATACTATTGAGGGCATGTAAAGAGCATCCCAGTTTTAACATGGTAATAAGGCAAAGAACGTTCATCAAATATCTTGATGCAGTATTTGATGTATATGGGGAGGTTCCATCATAATATTGCCACTTTGCCTAGTATAGTAGTATGCAAATGCAACATCTTGGCACTCCATGGAGATGTCTTATTTATATTACAGTAGATTTGTTCCACTGGACAAACTAAATAGGATGAGTCCCTGTCTACACTGCATAGCTTCCATTCATCTGTGTACAAAATCCTAGCTCCAGTGCAGATTATGCTTTGCAGGCAGTGGGGGGGAGAGGGGGAGTCAGCAATACATTATTCAATGAGCCTGAAATCCTAGTACTTGTATATGGGCCCATGATTAGGAACCACTTCTATAAGACAACTTTTTGTAATACTTTCTAATTCTGTTGCCAAAGTAACTTGCTGATGATGAGTTTTGTTTTTAATCTTTCAGTAGTTTTGTGCTTCCCCACAATGTCCAGCTTTTGCTAAGTCTAATAGTTTTCTCTATTGCCATGACAGGTTTTCAAATGTCACCCATGAAGTCTTCAATGTCACCCTCCACACCACACTGTCTGTTACTACTAAGCTGGTGGTTCCTACACCTGCCAAACCTATCCTTCCAGTACAAACTGGAGTCGAAGCTCAGCAAGAGGAGCAATCTAGTGGCATGAGTATATTCTTTAGTCTCCTTGTATTAGGTGAATATTGAACTGAAAAATCTCTTATTGTTCACCATTGTGTTTGAGTTACATCTGAAACATTTGTAAGATGCTTGAGTCCTGGGGATACAGAGCTTTTTTTAGTGTGGTGCTGCATTTCTCCTGCAAACCTCTAACCATAAAAGCTTATCAAATAGGTCCAGTTTTTTAGAAAACATTTTCAGAAAGATAAGCTTCTGGAACTGGGTATTTGTGGAATACACTTGAAAAGGAACAAGAAACCTTTACAGACCTCACCACATTCTGCTCCAAGTGCAAGGCATGTTTCTTTGACCTTGTCTTCTCTAACATAAACACTTAGCAATGTGTGTATATGTTTGTCTGTGTGCTACTAAAACAAATATTGTATTGTGCACAGTTTTTGCATTTGTGAGAGGATAAGGGATGAGAGTACACATGGCAGTTATTAGTCACATCTCTTAAAGCACTTTTGGAAGGTGTTGAGCTATGGTGAAAAGTACTGTGGAAGTACCTGTATTGAACTTTCATATGCAGTTACCACAAATATACATTAATCAGGTAACTGTAGTGCAAATTGGTACAATTATCCATAGGCATTGTACACTTCCTCAACTTGAGCACTAATTTTGCACATGGAGTTGCAAATCCAACTTTTCTGAATGTGTCATCAGTAAGGCTGTCTGTTTAAAACTTTTTGATAAATAGTGTTAATCGGTGTTTGTCTAGTGTAAACTATATGGCAGTCAAAGCTGTAACAACACCATTTCGGTAGAGTGTTTAAGGGTTTTGTCCTACTTCTTGCTTTAGTAAATACAAGCAAAGAGGGAGACCTGTAAACAAATCACAGTAAGAGATCCTTTCTGAAAAAGTATGTAATGTTGGTTCTTCAGTATATTTAGTTGCCTACTGTTGCAATGTTGATATGTGGCTTGTGTCATAAACTGAGTAGGAAAGCATGTGTGTTTGTGTCATAACAGTAGATATTATTGTTCCACTTGGAAAAAATCCTAAATGTGTCATCTCCTTGAAAGTAATTTGTAATAAATGCAGCAAAAAGAAAACCCAGTTCTTTTGATATATGCACAGTTCTCTCTGATATTCTCGCTGTGACCACTACCAAATTGATGAGAGTAGGTATTAAAAATCAAAACAAAGTGTAATAGATGAGAAAAAGCCTTGAAGTTTCAAAGAAAAATGTTGAATGTTGTGTGTGTTAAATTGAATTTAACAGGCTTATTCATGGTAAAGTTTCTGCACGTTTTCCTATGGCCAACAGTAGGGCCACAACTCTTGGCTTAATTTCTGGCCCTAGATTTCTGCAGCCTGCGTTACCTATTAAGACCAAATCCCAGTTTAACTTCAGTACTTTGGCCAAAAGGGCCTATCTTTATAATACTACTTTAAATTGTATGCAGCAGTTCAGTTGATAAACATAGTCCTCTCCTCTAATCTGTGGTATGTGCCCTTAATCTGTTTTGCCTTTCTTGTGTGACACTCAAACCCTTCACAAAAAGTTACAGATTTTCTTGTCAGTCTCTTGACTGCTTCATGTCATGGCTCCTAAGACTGTGCAGCCAGAAACTTGTCAATTACCGGCTAGACATTGTTGCCAAAGAACAGGAACCAAATAGCTATGGAATTAGTTACCAATGTATCAATTATTATAATATCTGTACTGGAAAAGGTCCATTCTCTGAACCTACAGTTACACCACAGGATTTATTTGTCAAAAGAATAAAAGTAATAAGATGCTGGTATTTGGCTCCGCTAAATGGACATTGTATGATTTAATAAGGCAGTGGTAAGAGCTTTACATTTCCAGAGCATTATATAAACATTAATTGTCCATATTTTATCATGAGGTAGATGATATACCCATTTTATAGTTATGAAAACTGAGATATAGAACGTAAGTGATTTGCCCAGAGCCAACACTTGCCATCAACGAGCTAATTTTACTGTATACTTCAGGAACTTCTGCTTCTACTTCAGGAACTTCAGGGACTATCACCTGTAAATTTACTAAATGCAAAGCATGCTGCATGTGCAGTGCCTAGCAATATGAGTGTAACAGTGTGCAGAATACTGAATGCAGTGATTTGACTTCCATTTCTGAACATTATAAGTAAACTTCCGATAATCCTGGCACCTTTAGGACCCAGTGGGTGCCGGATTATCAGATAGGCTGGACTATCAGAAGGGGGGGGCTGAGGGGTGGTGCTATGGGACCAACCCAGCACCCCAGCTGCTCTGCCCCGGGTGTCCCCAAGTCAGCCGCTGCTGAAACTGACCAGCGGCTGACTTGGGGAAGCCCGGGGCAGAGCAGCTACAATTGTCCGGCTGCCTGGAGCACTTCCGGGTTCGAAGGTAGTTCCGGACTAGCAGGAGTGCCAGACCACTGGATGCTGGACAACTGGAGTTTTACTGTATAGGGAAAGTCCTTTTCTGTGATACAAAGGACAATAAATGACAAGTACAGCTCATGCTGTTTATACTTGAAAATCATTATTTTCAGTGAGGCTATACTCCAAAAGAATACTACATAAAATAAATTATCTGATTGAAAGCTATACTCAGCTCTTAGTCAGAAACACATAAGAATAGCAGATTGGCCACTTGAATAAAAACTGTTCCATAGTAGCAAAGATGAGTTGCTAAAGCTTAACATTAGTAAGAGTAGCTCAGAGAAGCTTTTTTTTGGTTCTGGTGTCAGAAACTGATTTTATTGCAGGAGCCTTGTGGAGGCTGGAAATTGAATTGGCATAAGACCTTCCCTTCTCCCTCCTCTCCCTTCCTCCCCCTCGTCCCCAAGTGATTATTTGACACAATAAGGTAGGGGAATGAAGACAGACTTAGTGATTACTTTTCTGCTTTATCACAATTAGCTTGATCAAGTACAGGCAGTCCCCGGGGTTATGTGCAAGATAGGGACTGTAGGTTTGTTCTTAAGTTGAATCTGTATGTAAGTCGGAACTGGCGTCAGCTGCTGCTGAAACTGATCAGCGGCTGATTCCAGGAAGCCTGGGGCAGAGCAACCCAGCAGCACCCCATCTGCTCTGCCTCAGGCGTCCTGATTCAGCCGCTGCTGGAACTGACCAGCAGCAGCTGAATCAGGACGCCTGAGGCAGAGCAGATGGGGTGCTGCTGGGTTGCTCTGCCCCAGGCTTCCTGGAATCAGCCGCTGATCAGTTTCAGCAGCAGCTGACTTGGGGACGCCTGGGTTTCTTAAGTTGAATCTGTATGTAAGTCGGAACTGGCGTCAGCTGCTGCTGAAACTGATCAGCGGCTGATTCCAGGAAGCCTGGGGCAGAGCAACCCAGC